AGAAATTAGTGAATAAAACTCATTATCTTACCATTTCATTTTCCAAGAACATTTTGAAGATCCTTCATACGTAGTCACCATAAGTCGAGACAAGCTGTATGGGACCTAACAAAAACAACATTGGTGCTACAAAATATACCAAATAAAAGATACAAGAAGGTGTTAAATAGGCCTCAAATTTTTCAGGTTTAAATAAAATTTTTCTTAAATGTAAATCAATGACCTAATTTAAGATAAGTGTTTTAGTTTTGGATTTCTAATATATTAAATTCTTGTTGGAAGATCATACATTTCTTTTGACGTAATACTTGCATTACATTCTCTTGTTATTTTTCTATACACAAACACCAACTTACAAATTTGAAACACAGACAACTGTCATGTGACTGATTCTCAACATAGCAGAAGTTGCTAGAAATGTACTAAAATAAGTTTTGCAAATGTTCATAATTGCAGTTTAAACATTTATGTTATCTGGCAATTAACATGTGAATTACTTAAAATACTGTATTAGGATTCTGATAGACATAAATTTGGAGGGCTCTGACATAAGCCAAAAAAAAATCCTATGCCATTGAGTCAACTCTAACACATAGGACAGAGTAGAACTGCTCTTTTGGGTTTCTGAGACTGTATTCCTATTTCTCTTGCATAGCAGCTAGTGGCTTAAAGCGTTGGCCTTGCAATGAGCAACCCAATGCACCTTATTTTCTTTTCAGAAAATTAACATAAGAAAAACAAGTGCTAAAAACTAAGCTATCATATATTTTGATGGACTAAACTTCAGGCTGCTACATAATTTCTCTGATTTCCTTAATTAAGAAAAACCTTTGTAACATATTTATAATCTGACATTATACTATCATTCTTGCACAAAACACTTAGATTACACATTATCCCTCTCTCAACAAGTATTTAAAAATTTAGGACCAATGGCTAATCAAAGACAATATTAATGGAAGATTGTTAAGCCACAGGGGGATGACTGATAAGACGCTACCGTAAATTAACAAGGAGGCTTTGAAAGGGAGCCCAAAGGCAAAAAATCAAACCAAAACAAAAAACATAGATCTGTGAATGGGTTTTTGACTCGAACTAAATCCAAGCTCCAACTGAAGAACAATTAGTTTTTACATCATGGCCCTGCTCAATACTCATCCTCAGGAAGGGAACACAGAAGATATAGGTGCTACAGCAAAATGTGATGAAGAAATTAGATGATCTGAGTCTTAAAGGTTTGTCTCTAAACAAGCAGCCATCTAAGTGAGATGCCAACTAAGTCTACATGGAAGAAACACATCAACATCAGTCACTGAACAACTGTAAATCGTATGATCTGAAGTTGAAGGAGGTAATAGTATAAGAGCCTACATTGTGAGAATCTGGTTTGCAGAAGACTACGGATGACTGTGGGAGCCCATGATACATTTTTGGGCACTAAATAGCAAATAAGTCTCCAGTGATCTCCCTCTATCCATAATTGAGTGGTTACTAAACAGAGTGCATTGGAGAGATGTCTGTGGAAGATCAAAGGGATAAATCTAACTTGAATGGTTAAAACCTAGTCAGTTGATCCCCCCTCTGATGTACATTGGATCTGGTATGGTTTACAACATTTTCTTTATTTTTGTTTTTTGTTTGTTAATATTGGGGCTTATCTCAGATCTGTTATGCCATTGGAGGTCACTCTCTTGAATTTGTGTTCTATGTTTCTCTGTTTTTCGCTATATGGAACCCAGGATTAATGAGCCCAGGAACAGCAAGTAGAATAAGGTTTGGGGGCGGGGGGTGGGGGAAGAGTACAGTGGTTGTGGTGGGAGTCCAGGGGTAAATGGGAGCCTATGTCAAGGAGTCCAGGAAGGAAAAGAATGTTTAGAAACTGATTGTGGTAGCAATTGTACAATATTGTTTGATGTGATTGAACTATAGAATGATATTATATATGTATTAACTCCCTACTTTAGAAAAACCTTAAAAATAAATAACTTGAATAAAAAAAGATTTCTAGTCTAGGAAGCCGTAAGGAGCAGTTACCCTGTTCTATTGGGTTGCTCTGAATCAGAATTGATTTGATGACAATGAGTTTCGGGGCTCATCCCTAAACAACCATGAACCTCAGTTTTCTCATCTGCCTTACAGGATTGTTTTGAGGATTACATGAAATCATGTATTTGCAAGTGTTTCCAAAACTTCCTTGATGATAAAAATCACCTGGACACTTGTTAAAAGCAGCTGTTTCTCAGGCACCACCTCTGATGCTTCTTCTAACTCTGCAACCCATCAACTATCCCAAGTGATTCTTATCATCTGAGAAATAGAACTAGGGAGAACTTCATTAACCACAGTATCTCCCGTCACATTCCTTGTATTATGTGTTACAGTAGTGAGCCAAGACAAGTATGGGGAAAATAGATGGGAAAGAAAAGAGCCAAAAAGTGTAATTATACAGAGAGTACTTGAGTATAGTAGATTAAATGTTATATCTGACTTGAGTGGTTAAAACCTTGTCATTTGATCGCCCTTTTGAAACACTTTGAGCTTGATCTGGTTTTCAATATTTTCTGATTTTTTTTTCAAATTGGTACTCATCTCTATTGTATTTTGTTATTGTCAGTAGCATTCTTGATTCTCTGTTTTGAAACTCAGGATGGGTGAATCTATAGAGACAATCTATAGCGACCATAAGGGTTCTTGGTGGGGGACTGGTCTTAATTGGGAGTTGATGTCAACAAGTACGAGAAAGAAAAATGTTTTAAAAATTATTGTAGTAGTGATTGTACAACACTGCCTGATAAGACTCAACTATTGATTGGTATGATGTCTTTATTATGTCCAAATAAAATGATTTGGAAAAAATAAAATAAATGTAGATGAACTTATACCTTATCTACTCTTTCTTAGAAAACATTCTTACTTGTTGCAGGAATCAATTTTAATTCTGAATTTTGTAGTATGAAAATTTGTAAAATTATTTATATTATGCAATGTATCATAGAAAACTAAGCCTACTATGAAGGACTTAATGATCACTGACAGTTCCTTCCTCCTTCACTTCTATTTAGGAGAATTATAAGCATGATAATTAAAAAATCAAGTACCTTAATTCATGCAATGCTGAACTTCCTATTTCATTGAAGTCTATATTTTATAGAGAACTAAATCAAGTCTGATTATCTCTACAAGACTCTCATAGACAAAGTTCAAACTCCTTTATTCTTAATTTTTATAGCCCTTATATGTCAGCATCTGATCCAATTGTTTACAATTGGTGTCTCATATATGTATTTTATTTCTACAAAAGGTTAATTAATTCCTGGGATCTCCTTGTGTTCCATTCGCCACATTACCTATTAATGATGGTAATGATCATTCAATATTAGCTAGAAAGTAAATGGATTTTTAAAACTCTTAATTCATTCCATAATTCGTTTGTTAAGGGCCTTGCCTTCACTCAAAAAAACAATCAATATTATTTTATAATAGGGCTATCACACACTAAGTAAATTATCTTGAGTAAAGTCATATGGCATCTTCAGAGCCATACTCATTACAATAGAATACTAAATTGGATCAAGCTCAGGCTTGTTTTTAAGTGTGTGAAGGTGGCCTGCAAGTATCCACATAGAATATAATTATTTCAAATAATTCAGACTTGAATTCATTAAGCACATTTCCAAAACAAAACTATCTCTTACTTTGGACTTTAGGACTTGGAAGCATGTCAGTTTGCCAGTGCACAAAACAAACAATAACTGAGGTCAAAGATTATTTTTCAATGGTGCCAGAATTATATTGTGCTTTAAACCATACACAAGAGAATGCCACACCAAATGAAAAATGCCCAAACAAAGCATTTTATTCAAAATTATCTTAGAATTGGCAGTCTTCACATACATATTGGTTAGATAAAACTTTCTAATCATATACAGCATCTATCTCCTTAAAAAATGTTTCTTAAAAGTTTACCAAAAATTAAATTTAGCATTTCCATTTCTTTTTAACTTCTTACTTGTACTTCAAATTTAAAAAACCCCTGAAGTGTCTTAAAAACTAGTACAGAGAGAAAGGAGCCACAGAAGTACTTTATAATCAAAATTATTGGTTAATCCAAGTTAGGCCCATTTTTAAAAGAGGTCAACTGTGAAATCTAACATTTTTCAATCATTTGCCTTTAAAGAAACAATCTTGTATCTCAAAGATAATATTGTCAATTAAAACACACACACTTTCAGATTCTCATCTAATCGCATCTATCCAAAACATCATTTAAGGTCCCTCCTGCCTTTTTTCAAATAGTGATTATTCTCAATTGCCAGCTACCGGGTGGGGGGGGGGGGACACACCATAACCCATGCCCACTTTTATAATAGATGTTTTAGATTTTCTCGTCATAGTTATGGTAAAAAAAATAGAGAAGTAATGTCATTCTGGATGAAGAGTAGTTGATCTGCAAAAAAAATCATTTTTGCCTGCATCCCTTGGAGTTTGAGGTCACTTTGGAAGCCAAATGGAAAGTGTGTCTGCTATTCTGCGTTTTAATTTATAATAAAAGTATTGTCTTCCTATCTATTATACTAAAGGAGTCAGAAGTCAAACACAAGACTTTCTAGAAGCTCTCGGTACATGAATAACAAGAAAACTAAAAAGTTGAGGTCATTCTATCTACCTGCTCAAATTTTGTAGGATGGAGTGAAAGCAGCCTCGGAATCCGCTATTGAACAGCTTAAATCAGGGGCCAGGTTGCGTGACTGTACGTAAAATCGTCAGCAACTGTGTTATCTAAGAAGCAAAGCCAGGCCTTAAACATCAATCTCTCCTTCCCTAGATAACTGGGTTGAGCCCAGCAAGTGGTGGTTCTGAGAAGGAAAACTAACTCAAAGATAAGGAACCGCGACAGATGTGAGGGGAGTTACAAGCTTCTGCAGGAGAAAAGAGCACTTCATTAGCCTCCTAGGGCCACAAAGGCCAAAGAAGCGCCCTAGTAACGTGCCACTACTCACCCCTACTCTCTTATGATCCCAGTTGTCTCCCTGATCCACGCAGCCCCCGACACTGGGAGCCCCTCTCCCGCCCGGCGCTGGTGGTGGGCTTGGCGGGCAAGAGGAAGCAGCGGCGCAGGTGTCCAAGAGCCAGGGCCAGAGACACACCCCAAGGCGACTGGAAGCAAGGGGGAGGGGGGTGGTCCTCGCCTGGACCCTTCTCAGTACTAGGCCCGAGCTTAGAGCAGAACTGCGGTCCCAGTCCCTTCAGCAACGAGACTCCCAGGCCAGATTCCTGCCCATTGGCTCCAGAGGCCACATAACAGCTGCGGCTCCCTCTCCGGGCTGCGGTTGCACTTGCACCCCCAAGCTCTTCCTCCTTCTTTGGAACCGCTGCCTACTCATCAGCAAGGAAGTCTTTATCACAGGGCGCAACGGATGCCGTCGCCTAGTAACCGGCGCGCATGCGCTGCACCCGCGAATGCTACCACCCTCATCCAAGCTATGCTGTTTCTAGATCTAGAAAGCAGTGAGTTTAAAACCTATTCCTTGGCAGATGGGTCTGTCTCTCACTGACATCAAGTCAATGCTGACTCATAATGACCTCTCTGTGGGTTTGTGAGGCTGTAACTGCTTACAGGAGTAAGTCCAGTCTTTCTCTTGCAGAGCTGCTGTCAGTTTTGAACTGCTGATCAAACAGATCCCAGCTGAATGTATAACCACTACACCACAAGCATAGGGTTTCCATCTAGCATAGGGGTAGAGCTACTTTAATGTAGGGGGAGGTGGAAGAAGTGTGAGACAGTCTGCAATTCAGAAGAGCTCTTGGACTTAAAGTGGTCTACTGGCTCCTCAGCAGGCAGGCACCATAAAAACAATTCACTGCCATGGAGTTGATTCCTACTCAGAGCGACCCAATAAGATAATGCAGAATTTCCCCCTGTGGGGTTTTAAGACTGTAACAGTTTTTGTTTTTGTTTTTATAGTTGAATTGTTTTTTATCTTATTAAATCATTTTATTGGGGCCTTGTACAACTCTTATCACTATCCATACAAGCATCTATTGTGTTAAGCACATTTGTACATTTGTTGCCATCATCATTTTCATTCTACTTGAGCCCTTGGTATCTGCTTCTCATTTTCCCCTCCCTCCCTTATGAACCCTTGATAATTTATAAATTATTAATATTTTTTCATGTCTTACACCCACTTTTCTGTTTTCCATCCCCCCTGGGAGGTGGTTATAGGTGAAAGAAGTAGTCCAAGCTGCCTTAAATTCTCCTGGAAATGTAACAAATTAACAAAGCAATGGAATCATCCACTCATCTAGGAAAAAAAATTTATAAGATTGTTATCTGACCCAACACCTAGAAGAGATCCATATTTGTATCCATCCCCAACAAAGGTGACCCAACAGAATATGGAAATTATCAAAGAATACCACTAACATCATATGGAAGTAAAATTTTACTAAAACTCATTCAACAATGGTTGCAGCAGTACATCAACAGGGAGCTGCCAGAAATTTAAACCAGATTCAGAAGAGTATATGGAACAAGGGATATTGCTGACATCAGATGGGTCTTGGCTGAAAGCAGAGAATATCAGAAGGATGTTTACTTGTGTTTACTGAGTTTGCAAAGGCCTTTCACTGTACGAATCAAATATGGATAGCATTGAGAAAGATGGAAATTCCAGAACACATCATTGTGCTCATGTAGAATCTGTATATGGATGAAGAAGCAATCATTTTGAACAGAACAAGTGAATACCCCATGGCTTACAATCAGGGAAGGTATGCATCAGGGCTGTACTTTCTCACAATACTTATTCAATCTGTATACTGATCAAATATTCCAAGAAATATGATTATATGAGGAAGAATGTGCTATCAGGATTGCAGGAAGTCTTATTAACAGCCTGTGATATGCAGATGGCATAGCCTTGCTTGCTGTAAATGAGTATAACTTGAATCACTTGATGAAGATGAAGGATTTTAGCCTATCATATGGATTACAACTCAATATATAGAAAGTTCAAATCCTCACAACTAGATCAATAGATAACATATTATAAATGGAGAAAAATTTGACATTTTCAAGGATTCATGTTGCTTGGTTCTACAATCAATGCTCATGGAAGCAGGAGACAAGAAATCAATTACTACATTGCATTAGGTAAATCTGAACAAGGCATCTTTAAATTGTTAAGGAGCAAGGATGTCACTATGAGGAATAAGTGCTCTTGATTCAAGCCACAGTATTTTCAACTGCTTGATATGCATGTGAAAATTGGACATTGAATATGCAAGACCAGAGAATACGCAGTACATTTGAATTCTGGTGCTTGTGAAGAATATTGAGAGTACTACAGACTGCCAAAAAAATAGATCTGCTGTGGAAGAAGTCCTGTCAGAATGCTCCTTAGAAGTGAGGAGGGTGGGATTTCACCTCAAATACTTTGGACATGTTATCAAGAGAGACAAGTCACTAGCAAAGAACATCATATATGAAAAAGTAGAAGGCCAGTGAAAAAGAGGAAATACTTGACAAGATGAATTGGCACAGTGGCTGCAGCAATGAGCATAATAACAATTATGAGAATGGCACGGTATGTGGCAGTGTTTTGTTCTACTGTACAGGGGGTCGCTATGAGTTGGAATCCACTTGGTGACACCTAACAACAACAAAAGCAACAATAGGGTGATCCATGATATTCTATAGTTTGGCAGTTGAGGCCATCTCCATGATAGGATCTTGTGTAATGTAATCAACTCCATGATGAAATTTCTTTGAGCAACCAAGCATTTGTGGAAAGGTTAAGGTGGAATACAGTTGAACAGAAGTGTTCTTGGAGATGTGGCCTACATCTGTTTAAGCAGGCACCATGGGAAGGCTTGGCCATTCTTGCTAGCTTGGATCCAGAATTTGGGTTACTGAATATGGATTACAACTGTGGATGCACTATATTGGCTGCCTACCCTGGGTGCCAGAAGAGCCTAACATCTGACCTGATGTTCTTGGGCTCCACTCGCTTGCTTGATCTCAATCTCTATCTATCTATCTAATTCATATATAAAATTCATATAATACATATATAATTCAATAATATATATTATTGAAAATATGTATTCAATATTGGACTCTACTTGCTTGATATAAATTTCTTTCAAGATATATCTATAAAGATATTACATGAATAGATTTATCACACTAATCTTTAACACAGCACTATTCACAAAAGTAAAAAGATGGAAACTCCCTCAAGTTGATACAAGATTATGTAACTACCCCAGATGTTCACACTAAAAAATTATTTGATGGTTATTAGGGGTGGAAAGAGAAGGGAGGGAGGGGAATTCATGGGCTAGAGGATGGATAAGTGCTTACTTGAGTGAAAGGGAAGGCAATATACAACAAGAGAGAGGTTGGCAAAAAATGTTGGAAGCAGGACAGGCATTAGGAGGTTTGTAAGAGTTAAAAGTTACAGAAGCAAATATTGTTTTATAAACTATTGTGCAATAGACACTCAGATTGACCAGGTTTAGGTGGGCGAATTGGAATATACACATGAATTTATATAAGTTTGATAGAAATTATTTTTATATGTTTGTTTACCTTGGCTCCAAATACTTCTTTAAATGTGGTGGAGCACACAAGGGGAAAGTTATGAAAAAGTTTTGAACATAACGCAACAACTTGAGGGAATGAGTTGCTGAACCTAGGGGATCAGGATCATAGTCTTTGGAGACACCAAGGTCAACTGGGTTAACAGTCTACAAAGACAACTTTCTGCATCCTACTTGGGTGAGTAGTGTGACTGGGGCCTTAAAGACTTGTGAGCAGCCATCTAAGATGCAACTACTAGTGTCTTCCTGTCCAGAAGGCAAAAAGAGTGATAAAGAGTGATGGACTAATGGACCATACAAAATATCTCACTCCACAACCATGAGACCAGAAGAAGCAAATGATAGTTAGCTACCACTACTCACTCTCTGAAAAGGATCACATTAGAAGATACAGGATAGAATCAGAGAAAACTGGCTAAAACACTCAAAAGAGATCAGGCTTCCTGATTGGATACAGATTGGTGGTACTCTTTCCCCAAGATTATAGCCCTTAATAACCCTTCAAGTCTGTAACAGAGCTCACCCTTATGTGAGAATAATTAATCATTTAAAATCAAAGGGGCAGCATTTACCCAAGGACAATGTTCAGAGGGTTAGGGAAGGAGGTGGAATGGCAAACGGACATACAGGAAGCCAGTAGAATAAGTGATGGTGCATTGAGGGCATGACAATGGATAAGTTGAAACAAAATGTGCATGAACTTTTTAAATGTAAAACCAATGATCGCCTCACAGAAGAATGCACTTCAGAAGACAGGACTCAAGTTACAGCTCAGGAAGAGGGACATATCTGATCAGAGCACATAGGACCAAATGAAGGGAGAGGAAGAGAGAGTGGAGCACATCCTGGCCCACCAAGCCCTGAAGATGATATTCCCATTAGGCTCAGAGCAGCCAAAGCACAGAGAGGACCATAGGCCAGTACCACTACGAGACAGAAGTCCCTCTCTGACCCACAGCAGTACAGGGGACAACACTGGAGATACAGTGCAGAAATTGCACCCAATCTTACCCCACCACACTGAGAAGAAACACTAAAGGTGTGCAACAGAACAGCAAGGGGAACAGAGCAACAAGTCCCCAGGAAATACCAAAAATAGACTTTGGGGCCAGGGAGTGGCACCCCATCAGACTTGACCAGAAAACGCTACTAAAAGTCAACAAACAGACCTTGATCTATTTACAGGTTTTTCTTGTTAGTGTTTTGGGTTGTTGCTTTGTTTTCTTCTGTAACTTTTTTTTTTGCTCTGTCTTGTTTTTTGTTCATATTATTATCTCTGCAGATCTATCTAAATAAGATAGGTGGAATAAACAAGCTGGAGGAGAAAATAATGGGACTGATGATTTCAGGGGAACATGTGAAAGGGGGAGGCAGGGGAAAGGAAGTGGGTGTTAACAAACCCAGGGACAAGGGAACAAGTGATCCAAAATCGATGGTGAGGAGGGTGTAGGTCCTACACCTGGTAAGGCTTGATCAAGGGCAATGTAACGGAGAGGAATTACTGACCCCCAAATGAAGGCTGAACATGGTAATGTGATAAGAGTAAAGTAAGAGTAAAGTAAAAGGAAATAGAGGAAAGGACTAGGAGGCAAAGGACATCTATATAGGTCTAAATACAGGCATGTGCATATAGAAATATATTTATATATGACGATGGGGAAATAGATAGATCTATTTGCATATATTTATAGGTTTAGTATTAAGATATTGGGCCTCTACTCAAATACTCCCTCAATGCAAGAACACTTTGTTCTATTAAACTGGCATTCCATGAGGCTTACCTTCCTGACACGATCACTGAAGACAAATGGGTGCATAAGCAAAAATGGTTAAGAAAGCTGATGGTGCCCGGCTATAAAAAGATATAGCATCTGGGGTCTTAAAGGCTTGAAGATAAACAAGTGGCCATCTAGTTGAGAAGCAATAAATCCCACATGAAGGAAACACACCAGCCAGTGTGATCATGAGGTGTCGATAGGATCAGGTATCAGGCATCAAAGACTCAGAACAAAAAGTCATATCATTGTGAATGAGGGGGAGTGCAGAGTGGAGACACAAAGCCCATCTGTAGGCAACTGGACATCCTATTACAGAAGGGTCAAGGGAGGAGATGAGTCAGTCAGGGGGCTGCATAACACCGATGAAACATACAACTTTCCTCTAGTTCTTTAATGCTTCCTCCCTCCCACTATCATAATCCCATTTCTACCTTACAAATCTGGCTAGACCAGAGGATGTACACTGGTACAGATCAGAGATGGGAACACAGGGAATCCAGGATAGATAAACCCCTCAGGATCAATAATGAGAGTAGTACTACTAGGAGAATAAGGGTAAGGTGGGGGAGAAACGGGGAACTGATCACAATGATCTACATATAACCTTATCCCTGGGTTACAGACAACAGAAAAGTGGGTGAAGGAAGAATTGGACAGGGTAAGACGTGAAACAATAATAATAATTTATAAATTATCAAGGGTTTCTGAGGTAGGGAGGTTGGGGGAGGGAGGGGAAAAAATGAGGAGCTGATACCAAGGGCTCAAGTCGAAAGAAAATGTTGTGAGAATGATGATGGCAACAAATGTACAAATGTACTTGACACAAGAGATGGATGTATGGATTGTGATAAGAGTTGTATGAGCCCCCAGTAAAATCATTTAAAAAAGCAAAAACCAATGATCTACTCTGTATACCTGTACATCATTCACAATAAAATATTTCATTTTTTGTTTTAAAGAAAGTAAATAGAGAGCTAAAGTGAATAAAAGAAATGATGAAACAAAAAAGGTGAGCAGAAAATTTCAAAGAGGGGCTCAAAAGTACAAAGTAAATGAATCAAATGGAAGGACATGCTCAGAATCCCTCAAGCTAAAGAAACTAAAGGAAAAAAAGACAGCCTCACGTAGCAATATTGAAATATTCTATGGAGAAAATATTTAATGATGCCGCCAGCATCAAAGGAAAATTAAGGAATGCACAGAATTAGTGTACCAAAAATGATTTGTCAGCATTCAACCATATCAGTAGATAGCATATATGTTGCCATTCTCTTGAATTTGTAATTACTGGCATAGTAAACCATATAACCATCTGATTCAAGATGGGCAATATCAGTCCATTTCAACTCAATGTTCATGCATTTCATTTCATATTTGATGATTTCCTATTTTCTTATATTCATGTGTCATTCTTATAATTATAAATAGATGTTTCAGCTGTTTCTTCTCAATTTGAGTCTTGCCCCATCAGCAAATGAAGGCTTTACTCCAGAAGGATTTACTTTATTCACTTAATTGTGGCCGATTTTACTGAGAAAGAAGGCAGCTCTTTTTTTTTAGTGCCTTCAGAACTGAAGGGCTCATCTTCTGTCACTGTCTCTGACAAACTTCTGTGACTCTTCATGAGGTTTCTAGTATCTCACAATCTAAGTAGGCAAACACAAGTTATATGCTTCTCAGCCATCACTCATTTCTCCTATCTACTGAGGGACTTTTATATAATGCTCCTGTGATCTTCCAATACAACACTAGGCCAAATTATTAAACTTTGTGGAGTATATGAGGAATAGGATCAGTGGTTGATCAGCACCCACTATTACTGCTGAGTGGATTCTGATTTAGAGGACCTGTAGGACAGAGTAGAACTGCTCTATATGCCTTCTGGGTCTGTGTATCTTTACTAGAGTGGACTGCTCAATACTGTCCCATGAAGCAGCTAGTGCAGTGGTTCTCAACCTTTAATACAGTTCCTCATGTTGTGGTGACGGCCCAACCATAAAATTATTTTCGTTGCTATTTCATAACTATAATTTTGCTACTGTTATGAATCAGGTGACCCCTTTCAAGGGCAGTTCAACCCACAAAGGGGTTGCAACCCACAGGTTGATAACCACTGAGCTTGTGGGTTCCATTGGCTTACCTTTCAGCTATTCTCATTTCTGATCTTCAGTTACTCCATGCATCCAATGCATGATGCAGGATCTAAAGCATTACTGCTTTTACAACATTTGATAATTTTCATCCAATATTTTCAGTTTCAGTAAGTGGCACTGCTGGTTCAGGCCAAATATCTAGGAGTCATTTTTAAATGTTCTATCTCTCCATGCCTCCATAATCTTTGTTTTTTGCCTATTTCCTTGCTCTACTCCAGCTCTCCTTAATCACCCATAGCCCTGCTTTATTTCACAAATCAAGCATGTTTTATCCTCAGGATTATTTTACTGGCTGTGTCTTTTGTCTTGAGCAGTCTTGCTCCAGATTATTGCATGGCTATCTCCTATAGGCCTCTACTCTAATATCATTTCTGAAGAGATTTCTTTCCTGATCATTTTACATAAAATATTCTTCCTTCAGTCATCACTATCCCATTATCCTATCATGGATTTATCCAGTTGCTGTCAAATTGATTCCCACTTATGGAGACTCCATTTATGTCACAGTAAAGCTGTACTCTGTAGGGTTTTCAATGACTGAATTTTTGGAAGTAGTTTTCTAGCCCTTTCTTCTGAGGACTCTTTTGATAAACTCAAATCATTAATTTTTCAGTTAAAAACCCAATGCGTTAATTATTTGCACCACACAAGGATTCCACTTGGCACAAAAAATATTTAATAAATGCCTATGTGCTTAAGGATTAAGACTATGTGTATAGGATTAAGTCTAAACTCTAGTCTGACATCAAGGTCCTTCATGATCTGGCTGTAACCTAACTTTTCTAGTCCCGTGGGATCTGGTGGAATCCAAATGAGGATCCTGTAATTAATAGCCCACAGCACCAACAGGACTCCCTCTCTAGCCTAAAGGCACAGACAGATTAGTGACTCCTGCTGATTTTTCAGAGGAGAGTAAATTAAGTGTGAGGGCTACTTGAGAGTGTGAATGAGAGTGCTACTCCCCTCCCAGTTGCTTTCTGGTGTCTTCCCCTCCCCTCCGCACCCCCCCCCCCAGTATGGGCTAGATGAATATCCTCCTTCTCTTGCATGTCTCACTAACTGGTACAAGTCAAATAGATTTAACATGCAGCTGCAGCTGGGTAGAGTCAACTAAAGACAAGGTTCCCAGTTCAAATAAATCAGCCACAGTTTATCAGGAGAGAGGCTGTCAGACCCCCTTAAAAATTTAGGGGGGAGAGAGCGAGAGAGAGAGAGAGAGAGAGAGAGAGAGAAGAAGAAGAAGAAGAAGAAGAGAGGATTGGAGAGGAGAGGGAGAATACACACAAGACCGGAAGAGAATCAGGCACGTCTCGCTTGGCCTTCTGGGAATTGTAGTCCTGCAGGCTCTCGGGTTGTCTGTCTGACCCAGGAGCTGAAGACTACAGCTCCCAGGTATTCTCCAAGTTCCTACTGCACAGACTCAGAGCTCAGATCCCAGAGCCCCAAGCTGCGAGGAGGTGGCTACATTGGTCTATTGTATTCCCTGGCTGGTGTTTTTTTGGTAAATTTCTCACGACCTGATATCGAGAGAAAAAAGCATGGCGGATGAACAAGAAATCATGTGCAAATTGGAAAGCATTAAAGAGATCAGGTAAGAAGCACGTTCCAAGGCCTTCTCATTTCCTTTCTCACCCCAAGAATTCCTCGCCTTAGTGGTTGAATAAAATCTATTGGAAAATATTTGTTGTTGAACTGCTTACTGGTGGTAAGCGAGGCGAATGGTGATGGCTATTTACTCAGGACTTAAAGTGAGAAGCGAGGATGGCGGCAGGGAAAGAGGGAGTCAAAACTGAGACTACAGTGATGAGAGAGTGTTAAATAGAGGACATTTCTGACCAGAAGTATCTGTGAAACGCAGATGGAAATATGCGGGGATGAATATGAGATGGTTGTTTTTGTTCTTGGACTGAAGGTCAGGAGGCAGGCAGTGTTTTTGATGCGTTTTTTAAAAAAAGTATTTGACTCCAAGATGTCTTTGACACTCCCCCACCCAGGTCTCCAACTCCCCTGTCTCCAGTTCAGTTCCAGGATCTGGAGCTTAGCTAAGGGCAATGGGGATGACAGAGGCTGCCATGAGGTGCGAGCTTAGGGGTGTGTAGAGGAATCCAGAGGGCAGGGGTTGGGGGAACTTCGAGTGTGCCTGGATGGGTGAGTGTATTTGTTTTGCTTTCACTCATTACTTCTCAGTATTAGGGACTGGGGGGCTGTCCGAATGGTGGTACCCTTGCTTCTACTCTTAGATGCCTGAGGTAAAGTGTGGATGGGCGAAATACCCGTTGGCCATGTCCCCTGGCCTGTTGCTCAAAGAACTCCCTTGGCTCTGTGGTGCCAAATACTACTCAGAATACAATTGTGCCAAGATATTCTGACTATCTGGGCAGGCACCAGTCCTTCCTTCATCTTCTCTCTGCAGCTGCAGAGCACCATCCTGGTTCCCATTCTCATTTAGAAAATGGCCTGGGTCTGCCATCTCTGTCGAGTGGTTTTCAGTAATCTAGTGTGGTCAACATTCTTCACCAACACCATAGTTCAAATGCATCGATATTTATTCAGCCTTCCTTCTTTAATGTCCAACTTTCACATGCATATGAGGCAATTGAAAATACAGTTGTTTGAGTAAGGTGTACCTTAGTCTCAAAGTAACGTGCTTGCTTAGAATATTGAAAGTACTGTGGACTACCAAAAGAACAAGCAGATCTGTCTTGGAAGAGGTACAGTTAGAATGCTTGTTAGAGGCAAGAATGGCAAGACTTGTTTCAGTACTTTGGACATGCTATCAGGAGATACCAGTCCCTTGAGAAGGACATCATGCCTGGTAAAATGGAGTGACAGAAAAGAAGAGAAAAACCCTGGACAAAATGGACTGACTATAGTAGCTGCAACAATGGGCGGGAAACATAAGAACAATTGTGAGGATGGCACAGGACCAGGTAGTGTTCTTTCTGTTGTACACAGAGTTGCTATGAGTTGGAACCATTTCAACAGCACCTAAGAACAAGGGTGGTCAAAATGAAGGGGGTGGGGATGGTGTCAAGTGCCTTTTAAGAATCAGGATTTAGAGCAGCAGATGAGATGTAATCCTTGAAGTAAGGCCCACACATATTTGTGGTGGTGGTCGTGGTAGTGGTAGTGACCACTGTGGGAACCTTGGCTTCTTGTTTTCTGGAGGGATTTCTCTCCCTTTTTGCAGGGGAGGGAAAGGAAGTTAATCACCATTTTTTGAGACTTAAGAGGTTGGCCTTCCTGTCCTCTCTTACAGCTGGGAAAATGAGGACTCAGAGACTATAAGTGACTTGTCTATAGCTACACGGCTTGAAAATGCCTTTTCTGACAGTAACTCAGTCTAACTGCAGAGGCACTCCTTGTTCCAATCTGTACTGTGGAGAGGTTGAGGAATTGAGCTGAAGAAGGGATATGTTTCCTTTTTTTTTCTTGTCAGAGTATCTAGAGATAGGGAGTGAGATTATCTGGTGCGATGAAGGCTAGTTGTCATAACAGTACAACTAATAAGAAGCTTAGGCCTGCAAGAGGACAGCCTAGGCTTATATTTTCATCAGGCTTTAGACGAACTTCTAAAGAATCTTTAAAGATGAGGTTAGAGCAAGGAAATTCATCCCTGATATAAAGAGGGATAAAGTCTTCTCCCAATAGAGACTATCTCAGGAAATATGACTTTTACTTTCACTTGTGGTAATCAGGCATCCATCCTTCTTTTAGCTGGGGTAAATTCAGCGCGTGTCTGGAGTAAGGTGACCAGATTTTAACATTGG